ACCATTGTTTTTTTTTTCTTCTAAAGATTTAGTATTCTATCGCTTGATTTATTCAAATTTCTTTTTATAAATACTTTTTATAAATAGTATATAGGCAAATTAATGGTGAAATTATACTAATTCATATAGAAGTTCGTTGTAAATCGAGTAAATCGGCATAGTATTATTAATACATATGATGCTTAATTAATTCTGGTAATAGGTACTAACTGTAACAAAACAAACTACATACTAAAAAGCATAATTAATGGAAAAAGGACGCTAATTCTTTTAGGAAAAAAGCATAAATTCGTCATACTATTTTTGACGCTAATTACGCTTAATTATTTTTTATCATTGGTACGAATTGAAATAAAACTATAACCTATGTACTAAAAGGAAAAACTAATGGGGAAATGGTTCTAAATCGTTTAAGTAAAACGTTAAAAAAATTCCGTGCTATCATTGACGCCAGTGATGCTTAATTAATTTTGGTAATAGGTACAATTCGAAATAATAAAAAAATTAGCTTCATAATGAAAAGCAAAATTAATTTAGAAATAGCACCAATTAGTTCAGAAGGAACATAAAAAATCACCATACTATTATTGACTCCATTGATGCTTAATTTTGAGAAAAGGCAATTTGGGTGTTACGATAATTGGTGCAGTTTTATCAGTTCCAAGCATACTTATGTAGGGGACATTAATATATTTGATACCTATTAAATTAGTATTAATACTGCAGAATTTTAATGCAGATAATGTGGAAAAAAATTTTACGGGCCTTGGAAGTACCAGTGGAAATTTCTTAATTATGATTAAATTTGACCATCACGAGTTGGTCTTGAGCATTAATATCACTCCGAACGATACTGAATACAACTAACCGTTAATTAGATGGAATGAACTACTAAATGCGTGCTTTGCTTAATCTGATAACGCAAAACCACCGGCAAGGACAAAAAAAATAATCTTTATAAATAAATTTTAAAAAATTGGATTTTTTTTAGCATTATTAATTATGTTGGTATACATATTTCAGTATATTGTATGATTTCGTAGTATTGCTCAGTACTGATTTATTGATAGATTTTTTTTTTCACCCCTTACGAAGAAGGAGTATAGAACTAATATTAATAATGTAATGAATAGTTTTTGTATCTGCGTGTCTCTCTTATAACTCCCAGAGTCATTTTTTCTCTTATCCTGAAATTTGAACAGTTGGTTGGAGAGGAAATCCCTATCCCGAAATTCAAAAATTTCAGTTTCGTTTTTCGGAAAATACATTTAAAAAATGGCCATTGATGAAAATAACATTTTAGAGCAGTATTTAAGAACGTGGGGCCCACGCCCCACTTGGGGGCATTTTGATTGTTAAGGGGGGCAATTCGAAAATGGACTCGACACGAGTTTCATCCTTTTGCTCTGGTCCATTTAAGTGCAATGGTGGCAAAATTGAAAGAAAAAAGCAAATTCTTAAATAATTGCGGCCAATAAATATTATAAATTCGTTTGGCGAGATCAAAATATCAACTGGGTTTTTGGCGGCGTCAAGTTAACTTCCCTGTGGCAGACGGCAGGCTCCGAGTGGACCCCCGGACGCTTTAAAATCTCGCTAAACAATGCAGTTGTTCGCATCTGAAGAACAGACGAAATGAGTGAAGATATTGAAAAACAACTTGTTGAAAACAAGAAAATTCTCAGTGCAAATGTACGAATCAACTTTGATAGACAGTGCATGGCAGTATTGATAACTTACGTAAGATATATTGATAAAGGGCATTTTGAAAAAGAAATGTTGTTCTGTTAAAAATTAGAAAGCACCACTACCTCCAAAGATTTATACAATAAGCTAAAAAACTACTTAGATGTCAATAATATACCAATGAAAAATATAACATATTGTGCTGCAGATGGTGCTCCTAATATGATGGGCAAGAAAAATGGTTGCTTAAAATTGATGAAAGATGACAATCTAGAAATGATTCTTGTGCATTGGGTTATTCATAGGGAAAACTTGGTAGCTAACAACATCTTGCCTGTTCTAAATGAAGTACTACATTCAGTAATAAAGAGTATCAATGCTATTAAAGCTAATGCCAAATGTGAGCGTCTCTTCAAATGTGCAAGAAAACTAATTTTACCACTTCCATCTTCATATTTGGACTCATGCTGTAAATTATTTACTGGTAAAAATAGAAATCGTCTGGATAGCGGGGAGACTTGAGACTGAAGCTAACCAAATTGGAGCCTAACATAAAATCTCTGTGCAGCAAGCATCAAGCTCAAGGTTCTCACTAAATTTAAATATTAAATTATTATAGAAAAATCTTTATTAAGGGGGTTCAGTATCTAAAAACCTTCAAAAAATCGAATTTCAGATTTTGATCAATAATTAAACTAGAAACTATTAGCTTTCTAACGATATATTGCTTTTGTTTGAAATCCACGTAGAAGTGCACTTAAACTTAATTTAAAAAATGTAAAAAAACCGAAAACGCCCATGCCACGCTCACTTTTGACAGACGATTTCGTAAACATTATAATGACCATTATTTTTTGCGTGTGCTATTACCAAGTCATTAAAAAAATTTTTATAATTTCAACTTTACAATATCTTTAGTTGATTGTAACTTTAACTGGATTATTTGTTTGTTCTTTATTTCCATGCGATTTTCGAGAATTTTGAATATAAAACTGAGATTTACATTAGTTTGATTTGTTAAGTCTATTTTTGTTTTGTTCTTNATTATTATAGAAAAATCTTTATTAAAATTATTTCGAATTTGAATTTTAGTTTTTCATTATATGTTTTCAAAATTTACTTACTGTGTTTCGTTATCTATTTCCAAGTGATTTTTTCCTATAACCTGTCATATAAGTTTCTTAAGTGAACAATTCAGTTTTTTAACATTAAAAATTATGTATATGTTACATAGGGGGGCATAAGAATTTTAGAAAGGCTTAGGTGGGACATGGCACAAAAAAGGTTGAGAAACACTGCTGTAGGGGATTCTGATTTTGCTCTCTTTTTTCAAATATTTTGAAGAAATATCAGTAACGCTTATTAGCTTATAGATTCTCATTAAAAAAAAAAAGAGTTTATTGCAAGTTCTTTAAAATTTAATTGTTTTCTATTTGTTACGTCCAATAAATTCAATGATAATTATGCGCGTGGTAGCATAGGTGGACAATGACAGCAAATTATTATTTCTAAAGTTATCTGAAACCACGAGCTTATTTTGTTTGCAGTTATGCTTTGAGAAGATGTGAAACTAAATAATTCAAAATCAGCAGCATTTGAAACAAAAATAAAGTAAATTACTGAAAAACGAAATTAAAAAAGAATACTAATACGTGTAATTCGCTTGACGTAAAGAAGTCGCTAAACTATTATTAACGTCAATGATACTTAATTGATGCTAATAATGGGCAATACTTGAAAAAAAAGCTATGACAAAAAAACTATGTTCTAGAAAGTTAAAATAAGGGAGAAATGGTTGAAATTTCGTATCGAAAAGAACATTAAAAAAACGCCTTACAATTTTTGACGCCAATAATATTCACTTAATTTTGGTAATAGGTTTTATTTGAAATAAAAAAAAGCTATGTGCTATAAAAGTAAATAAGTGGGGAAATGGTAGTAATTATTTAAGAAAAAGTGTAAAAAATCGCCATTCTATTATTAATGCCAATGTTGCTTAATTAATTTTGGTTACAGTCACTACTGATAATATAGCAATTTGTGCCGTTTAAATAAGTACCAAGTATACTCATACAGGTATAATGTAATATATTAACATATATATTTAATATCTATTAAGGCTACGTCAATATTGCGCAGTTTTAATATAGATACTATGGAAAGATGTTTTTATGGTCCCTTGAAGAGGATAGTTATCAGAGAAAACAACGTGATTATTTTTATCTTATCTGGGTTGAATCTGTTGAACTTTGTGAATCTTATTAAACTTTCTTTACAAAAACATTTTGAGCTCGTTTCTTTCTCAAAGTTTTTTGCACATACAAAACTTTATTTTTTAAAATCTTTGCTTTTGCGTAGATTGAAAATAAAATGCATTCTTCAGTTAAAAAAAAATTGCATATTCTTTATCCAGTTATTGTAAAATAGATTTATATTCTCCGGCATAAAAATATTTTGCAAATTACTGTATTTATACTATTACCTTAGATTCATATTCTTAAATCTAATTTTTTTTTCTCAATTCTTTGTATTTATGTTGTTACGCAGATTTCTATACTTCAGCTAGAATTTGTTTAACTTAAATATTTTAACTTATGTTGTTATGTAGATTTATATTCTTCAGCACAACATATTTTTTCATAAATCTTTCTATTTACGATGTTTCGCGCATTTACGAAATGTTCAAACTTTTTTTTCCATTATAACATTTAAAGCATATAGATACAAAAAAAATATTGCAACAGCAATACATCTTTATGGTAAAAATCCATTTCTTTAATAATTAAAAGAGTGAAAAATGCGATGAACACATTTCCAATTGAAAAAATTTTTTTCATTGCATATTATACATACGAGCATTAAGTGATTTTGTTCATAACACACTATTCTAATTTAAATTAACTTCATATCAGTAACTGCTTATATTCTTTAAAAACAAAAGATTTAAGTTTATCTACTTTGATTTTTCCCTTTTCTAATTTTTAAATTGAATAATACCACAGTAAGTTTCAATACCATACTTAAACTACAGCTGTAAAAGAGTTTGAATAAATATTGTCGCAAAGAACATCGCACAAAAGTTGTATTTCCTTTCAAATTTATCTATTATCAACTAAAAAAATATTTTACAAATGTTTGTTAAAAACAAAAGCGAACTGTATAGCCTGCTCTAACCTACAAGCTGTGTACCTAGTCACAAGTGTAGCATATAAGATAAAAATTTTGTATTAATGTTCAGTTATGTTATTTTCTATATTTGAAAAAAAAAATTATTGAATTTTATAACTGTATCTGTATTTCTTTTTATTTTCTAGATGACAAAGCGCAAGATGAGTACCCCGATGCTCCACGCAGGAAGTAAATTCCGTTCGGGTCTTTTACAACTTATGATACACACGATTGATCCAATGCATGATGGTAAGTAAAAAAAAATTCTTCTCGTATGGGACAAAATATCCAAGAATATATCATAAGGAAATCAATACCACTGTAATCAGGCTACTGTTCAAACATATAGTTAATACTACAACTTTCCTGAGATTTCTTGGAAATTTTAATTAAATAGAAGTCGGAGTTTAAGTCGAGCTCTCAGGAAAGTCAGGAGTCATGTTTTACGACAACCGACTCCACATGTCTGATTCAGACACATATAATACGAATAATGAGAGCTATTATTTTAGCATATGTGCTTTAAAATAAAAGTGAAATTGCCCAATTTTTTAAAAACCTTTCCTATTTTACTTCCAATTTTTAAACTCTTTCTAAACCATCGTACAAGTTGGCAGTTATGCAAATGATTTATATTATTATTATATGAATTATAATAATATAAATAAGTATAGTTACATTTTGAAAACTACGTCATTTTTTCTAGGTAAATTGGACGATAAAGCCAATCAACTCCATGCAATGGCTTCCTTAAAGGTTCTTCTCGAAGCACAAAAAACGAATGGAACAGTCAACATGAGGGTAAATCAGGGCAAGGGTGTTCCAAACAGTATATCTTGTCCAGCTTGCTCTGATTGTCCAGACTGTACCCATGGAACCCACCCTTCTATGGTAGAATCTCCAAGTGGGATGCACATCGTTCCATCGAATGTGGGTGGGGGTGATAGTTCAGCTGATGACCAGATGCCACCAGTGGAAATGTCACCCACAAGCAACGTCCGGGTAATTTGGGTCAGCTTCTTTTTCTTCTTTCTCTTCTCTTTCTCCTTTTTTTTCTATCTTTCTTTTTCACTCATTTATATAAGAGAATAAAAATATACAGTTTCGGTTTTGTAACCAGGTAGAAAAAATTAAAGAAGAAGCAAAAATCCAAATATACTTTTATTGGATATCATAAATTGATAATATACAAAAGCCATAATGAACAAAAGCAGTAATATACAAAGCAATAATATACAAATCAAACATAAATTGGTAATATACAGTGTGCAAAATAAAATAAAAAATGACCACTCTGTAATACTTTTAATCTAATGATCAGATCTTCACGTTCAAGAGCACAATTTTAACGGTTCGAGGGGGTGACCACAAATATGTTAATTAATTAGTGCGGACGATATTTTAACTTTTGAAATCAGACCCAAAAATGTATTTTCCATGAATAAACATATTTTTTTTTCGATGGATTTGAATTTCTCACCCTAAAAATATAGAGGGTAGCCACAAACTGAGAAATAAGATCCTAGTATTTTGGTCAGAAGAGTGGTCTAAAGTTAGGACACCTTAATATTAATTTTTCCTTTTGCGTATTTAACTATATCTTGAAAACTTGTTAAGCAGTTTAAAAAACATTTGCAAACAATTATAAAATTCATCTACTCAAAGATAATTCAATGCAAAATATAAATTTTAGAAATATATCATTTTTTTAATAGTTTTATCTAAGAGTAGTCGAAGAAATTTTGAATTGTAAGATATGCAGCTTTTTTTTACATGATTTTAAGAAATGTAATTACTCGTGACAAATATGAAATTTTAGCAAAATTGGTTGAATAGTTAGTTCCTCCTGGGAAAGCGAATTTTTTAAAAAAAAACTGTATTTTTTGATATTATAATTCAAAATATCGTCAGCATTAATTTACATATTCGAGATCACTACCCCCCCCCACCGAAACATTAAGATTGAGTCATCGAACGTCAAGATCTGATAATTAGATCAAAAGTTATTGAGTTCGTCCCGTTTTTTTAAACGCTCTCCGAAACATCAACGTTGTTAAGATTGTCGCCGTACTTATAGTGTTAAAAAAGTTTAATCAGTTTTAATAAGATTAAACTTTTTTTTTGCATTAAAGAACGGCAACAGTTTGGACAAGAGGATAACCTCACCTTTTTTTCCCTTCTTTTCATTTTTGTATGAAGCAAGTAAGTGATAAATGAATTATTTAGGAATGAATTACGATCACTTATAATGAATGACTTTAAAATGCATTATTTTTAAACGCTCAGCGGACTGCGTTTTTATTTTTTTTCCAATAAAATACAATTTCATTATCAATATGCATTGGAAATTTCATCCATACTTGCATTTCTTAGAGTCAATCAATAGTTTCGTGATAAAAGAAATATTTCAAATTACTTTTTAAATTCAATTCAAAATAATTTATAACACTGTGCCGTCTGTAAAATTATAGTTGTAGTATTTTCGACAAAATGAAAATTCATATTAAATATGCATTGGAAAATTGAGAATCAATTTAAGCAGAACAGTCTAGAAAAAAAAAGTTTCGGAAATATGCATTGAATTTCTCTAAGCTTCGGAAAACCATGAAAAGACCATTATAATTATTTTTATGATTTTAAACCATTCTATTGTAGTTTATGTTTCTCATAATTATTTGAAATTTAGATAAGATAGGAGGATTTGAAATATTGCCAGGTCAAAACTATAGACTTAATTATTTAAAAAAGGGGCAGTCAAGCAATTGTTAAAACAATTCAGAGAATGCTAGTCTGGCACCCCATAATCAACCGGTTGACATTCACCGGTTTTACCGGTGAATGTCAACATTTAAAGTAAGCAGATGGGCGACCACTTTGATCAGTTTGCGTTAGGACCGAGGGTGCCCGGTATCTGTCCTCGTTACACTCTTCTACGGTAAAGTGCTCGACTTCGCGCAGGTCATCGGGCTACCAAAGTAGTTGAGCCATTCCCTCTGCAGAGGATCAAAATTGCGATGGCATGTCTTCGTATCATCCTCAGGCATATTTCCCGAACCGTCGCCAATAGTTCATTGTGCAACTCTGGTGTGACGTAACTTAAGTACTTACCTGCCTACCGATATTATTATATTTATTCGATATTTTAATATCTGATGAGGATAGATTAGGAGAAGCATAAGTGTTCGGAATACCGGTTAAATGCATACTGGGCAGAACACTTGATCCTAAAATAAAAATTTGATATAGGGCATACCGGGCAAATGTATACCAGGCAGTGGCACTTAACTGGACCTAGTATATATTTCGGACTCTTACAAAAGCGACTGTGTGGTTGTCAACATTCCCCGTCATATGTATAAAATATTTTTTCAAGTCAATGGGCCATCGGACATTAATTGATATATTAAAAAAAGATTATTTTCAAAGTTTCAAGTATTTATGCAGCTGGTAACATGGTAAACAATAGTTTTGAAAATATGTAGAATACAGTAGTCATGAAATTAAGAAAAATTGGTTGAATGTTTCGATTAAACTTCATTTTAATACTAAAAAAATCATTTTTTCTATACATACTGCATTAAAGTATGTAGTCGTAAGTTTAATTTGCACAAAGAAAGAAGTTTGTATGTAAAAAATTGTTCGAGTAATTACAAATTTACAAAAAAGTTGGATTTCGGGTAGCAACGCTCACATGAATGTTGGGTATCACCGCCCAATTTTATTTCGTCGATAAATGTACGGTTGCAAAGATTATTATTTTATTGCTTCAAATTTGAATGTTATATGCATTTTTAACAACAAATATATGTTTTAATATTATATGAAACATAAATTTATATATTTAAAAATGAAAAATTAAATATTTTTAAAATGTAATTGATATATCCAAATTAAATTTAATATCAAGAAATCATAAATATTATGATAAGCTATTTGCTTACTTATTTATTTTCACTTATTTGTGAACGAATCAATCTACAGAAGCATTTGAATGCAATCAAAATACAAAGTGAATTTGTAATTTTATAAGAAGTATTTTATATTAAGTTTATAAGAAGAGATCAACCAAATAAGTTTATATTGAAAAACAACTATTGTTATTAATTATTGTTACTTAAATTAAATTATTTTCGTTAAATATTTAATATAAATATATATTAATATTATAATATATTAATATACATTAATAATGATAAAAAGTATGACATTTGTTGTTATTAAATGATAGAATTCACTAAAAGTATATAAATATGTAATAAATAAAATAATTTTGTGATAAAAATGATAAATGAGGTTTATCTATTGTCAATACATTGGTCATTCTCATTTACACCTGAAAAAATAGCCAAAAAACACAATTTTTGTAACTGGGCGGGGCTACCCGACACATTTTGAAAAGAGCTGAAAAACATGTTTTTTTAAATTTCTATTTTTTTAAGTTTAACTATTCTTTTTTTGGTTTATTCTTTTTGCATTATTTAATTAGATGATAAAACAATAGAAACATACAAAAATGTTGATTATTACTCAGTATTATACAGAAATATAAGCAATACTCCTTAAGTGAGCGGGGCTACCCGACTCTCCCCTATATAAAGTATAATATTAAGACGGTTTGAAAAGTATATTTGACTATGCTTAAGTGCTTACGTTTCCTAAAAATTTATTAATATATAATTCATTACAAATATTTATTAAAAATTGCTACCATTCATATATCTAAAGCATGGTTTGAACCAAAGCAGAAAGAAAGTATTTTTAGCGCAAAATAATTTTCTTAACTAAACCCAGATAGCAAGCGACCCTACGGCAAACGTTTTATTTTCATTTTCATAGAAAGTTGGTTTAATTTATCCTTTTTTAAACTTTGTAGAAATATTAGCATGCAAATCTTGTTTTCTTTAAGATTGAACAAAGATACATAAGAATTTTTATAAAACTTTTCTTTCCTCATTTTTTAACTTTTATTCCAAACTTTTTTTCGCATTTTTTTCATTTTCGTTTGTCCAGGCTATGCAACATTTTGTTTGTGTTCAAAACTTAATAATCAGGCCAACCTGCACTTTTAAATTGTTAAAAAATATATACAAAAGCTTGCGTTAAGAATCCATGATTTCGTGATGATCATAAAATCCGAAGTAAATCTTAAAAAGATGAATTTATCCTTGGTTTGAGAACGCTTCCTACTCTTGATTTGCAAATGATAATTAACCCATGATTTTTTGTCTTGTTTTGTAAATGTAGAATCAATATCGATATGAAAAGGTTGTTTAAAAGAGCCTCTTAGTGCGTAAATCAGCATAGTAAAATTGAACATTGTTTCAAGCTTGCATGATCTATTTTTTAAACATTTATAAACCTTATTGGACTTAGTGATAAAAGTTGTTGGTTTCACTGCTATCTGCTTACACTACTTATTATTTTTGAAAAGAGAACTGCTTATCTGAACGCACAACTGTTCTGGAATCTAAACGCATATGCTATGAGATTCATTTAAAATAAGCAGAATAAACGAAAACAGAATAATAATAATAAACTTTATTAATTGCATCATGTATTTATTTTTAAAAGCCAATCGAATTAATAATTCCTATCTTTCTGAGATACTGCTCTATCATCTTATCCAGTCGAAGTAAGCAGAAGACAATGAAAGTGAATGTGAATAATGCAATATATTTATTTGAGAACGTTATGAATTTTTTTTATTATTGCTCAATCATTCTAAAGTATTAAAAAAATTAAAACAAATAGAAACAAAATAAAATAAACAGATTATAAATGAATGATCAATAAAATAAGCAATTATTTGATCAAATACGTTGAGTTTTATGATAAACTACTCTAGAATCTCAGAATATTGCATACGACTAGGTCAAAACATGATATATTTCTTATAATATTTACATTTATATAGTATGATCTTTTGGCGAGATGCCAAACTTCCATTTATATGGTTTCAACAGGAGCTCCTAAATAAAAAATAGAAATATGAATTATGAGAAAAATTTCCTTCTACCTCATGCAAAGTGAATATGTTTAGAGTAAGCTGACTAGGGTCCTCTAAAAATTTACAATCTGATTGTAATATTCCTCTACGAATATTCGAAAACAACTGATTTATCCTTCCAAATTTCTTAGAACAGAGACCCCTTGCGGGAATTCTCCAACAGAAATAATTTTTTATCGAAGAGGTAAGGAGATGAGTTTTTGAATTTTCTTTTAGAAATTTTGCTTTCAATTTTTTAGTTTATTTTTAAGACGCTGGTCACCTTAGTCCGGAGACGTATTTTCTTAATATATAATGGTACTTTTACCGGAAGCAAGTACTTGTACCAGAAGCAAGTTATTTCAATTTTTTTTAATTTTTGTTTTCGATATTTTAATTTTGTTTAATTTATATTATTCAGTACAACAAAATTATTCGTTACAATCAAAAATAAATAAATGAGTGAAAGAAAAATCCATAAAAGGTGAGTTTGCTTCCGCGTGGTTAACACTAAAATATCTATATAATTTAGAAAAAATCTTTTATTATTGATTCTGTGTCGTTTAATAAAGTACTATTTACTAATAAATAATAGTTTTTTAGGGACAAAACTTCTGATAAATCTGAAACGAATTGTACTGAATTTTGAAAATAAATTTATTCTGAAATTTCTGAGATGACTACATAAGCTCCTACTGCAAAATTGTTTCTTTATACAATTTAAATTCCTCATCTTAGAAGTCTGACGTCACAATCCTAGAAATTTCATNAACCTAGAATTGATTGTATTATATAATATGAATTGATTTTCATTTTACTACATTATCACGGAATTTTTGTGGACTAAACCTTTGATAAGTCTGAACTGAATCGAACTAAAATTCTGATAAAGAATTGGATTGAAATTTCAGAGACGACTAAATAAGCTTCAACCTGAAAATCATTTCTTTATCCGATTGAAATTTCTCATCTTATAAGTCTGACGTCACAATCCAATGATATGATGGGGACAGAATTGTTAATATTCTAGAACCTAGAATTGATTGTATTATATAACATGAAATGATTTTTATTGGGATACATTATTACGGAATTTTTGTGGATAAAACTTTTGATAAGTCTGAACTGAATTGAACTAAAATTCTGATGAAGAATTGAATTGAAATTTCAGAGATGACTAAATAAGCTTCAACCTGAAAATCATTTTTTTATCCGATTACAATTCCCCATCTTTGAATTTTTGAAGAATTCTGAAGTCAAAATCTTATGAAATGAAGGTGTCAAAATAGATAATATTAGGATATAGAATTGATTATATGACGTAATCTGAAAGAATTTTTATCGGGATACAGTATCATGGAATTTTTACAACACACAATTATTGCTCAAGCTATAAAATATAACTGAATTCCAAAAATTATAGAATATTAACAAGTTGCTAATATGTTTGAATATAAGAGAGTTTCTAGTACGATGAAAGAAATCATGTAATAAAAATACAGGTAACTGTGGCAGAATATTATGAAATTAATTAAATGGATATAATAGAATATGATCACATGATATGAATATATTTAAACAAAATTCATTTTAAAATCACCGGAATTTTTTAAAACTATTTTTATGAATTTAAATTAAATTAAAATACTTTTGTTTAGTAATATTATTTTGAAGTACGTTTACGGGTATGTTATGTTTAAATAAAGTTTCAATTTATTTATTAAAAGTATTGTACTTATTTTTCTAAAATAAAATTGTTACATGGTTTGTTTATATGTCAGATTCATGTTAAATATTTAAATACTTATAGACTGCGAATAACTCTACTGGTACCTTCATGAGCAGAATTATTTTATGTCAGACTTATGTTAAATATTTAAATACTTATAGACTGCCAATAACTCTACTGGTACCTTCATGAGCAGAATTATTTTTGTGTTAGATTTATGTTAAATATTTAAATACTTATAGACTGCCAATAACTCAACTGGTACCTTCATGACCAGAAGTATTCGGAGTGACCCTGGTGACGCTGCAGTACTTCGTACAGATTCAGTCAACAGTATACCTCAAAGCAACGCTGACTCCACTCAGAATGTCAACATTGTCATGCCATCCGAATCTAAAACGCAGTTGCAAAATTCGAATCAAAATATTCCACATTCCAATTCACAGGGATCACAGGTAATATGAAATAAAGGCTGATAATAGATTATTCTGTAATATTAAACATGCACTTTAAATACTATTAATATCAAAGTAATTAAAAATTGATCAAATCTAAAATTATAAATTAATTAATCAAATACAATTATCAGAAAATACGTTATCGCTAACGATAAAAAGTAATAAATCTTTTCAACTACACGGTAAAAAAAAATCCTGAAAAGTTGCGGTAAGAAGAACCGGCACTCAGGATGCAGAACTTTTTACCGTAAAATTTTGCGGAACAGAAACAAACTGATTAACTGTAATTTTTACAGTAATATGTAATGAATCAATGTAATTTATTAAATGTACTGGCAAAATTACGGCATGAAATTTTACCGTAATTTTTTTAGAATTTTTTAGAGTGTACTCACGTACGATTTTGAACCTATATATTTGTTTTTGAGCTAAATCTCTATCATATCTAACGACCAAAATACTACAAATCCTGTTTCTTCAATTGAATTTCGAACTAATTCAGTTATTACAGACATTATTTTTCTTTTACTATATTCCGAGATTGGCTACACTACAAACATTAATTTATTTTATTTTGATTGTTTATGTACTCCAAAAAAGTATACAGTCTTTCTTCGTTGCATAATATTTAAAAGTTATAGTTATTTGCATTTTTAAGGTATCCGACTAGTTTCAGCAATTTTTTTTAAGGTATTAATATAAGAGTTCAAAAATCTAGTTTATGTGTTTTCTTAAGTGTGAAAACTTATAAAACTAGCAAAAAAATTATTATTAATTTATTTCGTTTTTTAAAATGGCCATTTTTAGTTAAAAAAATAAGTCATTTTTTGCATATACGCTAAACAAAGTTAAAAATATTCTATCACCCCCCCAAAAAAAATCCTTTGAGGATTTTATCTAGAAGGCAAAATTTTTGACAAAACTATGATTTGGACTATTACCTTCAAAGCAAGTGCATATACTACTAAGTTAGGGATCAATGTAGGAAAAAAAATTAAAGTTTTAACAATTTCCGCGCGTGTTTTTGCGAAAAAACATGTATAAAAAAAAATTATACTTTTTTTCTCATAGTCAGGAGTTCAAAACATGTGTGCTGAAATCATAAGCACTCATTGAAAATTTTAGACTATTATTTTGAAAACAATGTGAAATATCGTTTAGGGTGGTGTAAAATGTGAAAAAAAAACTGATTTTGAGATTAACGTATTTAAAGACTTATAATTTTGAAATATATAGAATCTTTGATGGCGATATCATTACATCAATTAAATTAAGTAGAATGAGATGGGCCGGGCATGTAGTGAGAATGAGCCCAGAACGAACAGCATTGCGAGTCTCTAATGCAGCCCCCTCCAATAAAAGGCAAGAGGAAGGCCCAAAAAGAGATGGAAGGACTGTGTGGATGAGGATTTTGCCATCCTAAAAGTAAAGAACTGGAAAACAATTGCTGGGAGAAGGGCAGAATGGGAAAAGCTTCTGAGGAGGGCCCAGGCTCACAAAGGGCTGCCGTGCCAATGCTGCTGCTGATGATGATGAAAGACTTAAAATCACTAGTCTGTCCACTGTTATCACCTTACACAAAAACTGCCATAACTTTGTAAATACACTAGTGTAAGAAATTAAGAGAATTTGCAGACTTGGTTGATTATCTCTAGAACTACTGGACCGATTTTAATGAAATTTTATTTGTACATACATTGATATAATACAAAACAAATAACCATTCAACAATTGTATTACACACGCATGATATTATATTACACACTATTTATAGAAAGCTACACTACAGGAATTCTAAATTCATAATAAACTCAATTTCAAAGCTTTTGTCCAAAATCATGTTTTTGCACTAGTCAGATACGTTAAAAGATATGTCTCCTTTTTATGTTTAGCCACCAGAACCTGCTACTGAAGAGGAAGAAGATGGTGAAAAGCCGATGGATTTATCATGGCCCGATACATGGCAGAAAAGACTAAATTACGTTCTGATTGCTCCTATTGTATTTCCATTGTATTTAACTCTTCCAGACACAAGGAGACCGGTGAGTCCTCATGTTATTGCGTATCAAGGAAGTGATACTATGTATTCACCTGTTTATTGTTGAAATTGAACTGAAACAATGTATTTCTCCTGTTGTATTTACATTATTTAAAACTTTTCAGGTCGATAAACAAATCTTAAACTTTATCGTTCATTTTTCTACTATCTATATAAATATTTCTCTAATGTGGTACCAGAAAACAAGGTAATTTCTCTATATTTTGGCAGCACTATAGTTATTATTCACTCTGTTAGTTTGTCAAAAGTAAAAATTTAAGTAATGTTAAAACACGTGTAACACGTTAAGTATTTATTGAGATTTATTTTGTTAGGTTTTCTTTTGTAATTATTTACGTAAAGTTGAATAGCTAGTCATACATTAAATATTTATTTAGAATAACTTTGTGTTTTTATGAAAATAAAAACTTAAGTTAAGAATTTATTATTTCGATTTGTTTTTTATCCTATCTAAAACGGCTGTAGAAATTTTAAACATAAACGGTGCTAAGGAACCTCATACTGTCATGCCAATTATTGGTGGAAAAACATGCCTGTTCCAATGCTGAAATGTCCGAAGCCAATAATTATGGTAGTTTGTGTGATTTAATATTAAAAATGGCAAAAGAATTTTTCCTTCTTAAGAAAGCAAAAAATCCGGTACCCGCTTTACATAACGTTTTAAACATACACTGTNCCATTGTATTTAACTCTTCCAGACACAAGGAGACCGGTGAGTGCGCATGTTATTGTGTATCAAGGAAGTGATACCATACCTGCCAACTCTTCCGGATTTTCCGGAAGATTTTATTTTTATATTTAAAGTGGTAGTAAATATATACTATTTTTCTTTTATAAACTTAATTTTTAAATGATTTTGATCACCACTATTCTTTCAAAAATTGAGCACATATATGCGGTACTATCATGGTTGTCAACTTAAGTTTTTTCAAATACAACGTATTTGTTTGCTCAAAATTGAAGTTTTAATTCCATTTTAATACCGCAGGGAAAAATGATAATGGAAGGGATTAAAAGTTGGCAAGTATGCGATACTATGTATTCACCTGTTTATTGTTGAAATTGAACTGAAACAATGTATTTCTTCTGTTGTATTTACATTATTTAAAACTTTTCAGGTCGATAAACGAATCTTAAACTTTATCGTTCATATTTTGCTTGGCAATTTTTCTACTATCTATATAAATATTTCTCTAATGTGGTACCATAAACAGGGTAATTTCTCTATATTTTGGCAGCACTGTTGTTATTATTCACTCTGTTAGGTTGTCAAAAGTAAAAGTTTAAGTAATGTTAAAACACATGTAACACGTTAAGTATTTATTGAGATTTATTTTGTTAGGTTTTCTTATGTAATTATTTACGTAAAGTTGAATAGCTAGTCATACATTAAGTATTTATTTAGAATAACTTTGTGTTTTTATGAAAATAAAAACTTAAGTTAAGAACTTATTATTTAGATTTGTTTTTTTATCCTATCTAAAATGGCTGTAGAAATTTTTAACATAAACCGTGCTATGGAACCTCATACTGTCAAACCAATTATTGGTAAAAAAAAACATGCCTGTTCCAGTGCTGAAATGTCCGAAGCCAATAATTATGGTAGTTTGTGTGATTTAACTGCTGCCGGACAGATTTTAAATTACTGCTAAAATTCATTATGTAAAGAACATTTCTTAAAATGGCAAAAGAATTTTTCCTTCTTAAGAAAGCAAAAAATCCGGTACCCGCTTTACATAACGTTTTAAACATACACTGTCAAAATTTTCATTCCAAAATTGAGGTAAAATAACTGGCAACTGTCTGCCCATCCGATTAACCATAAAGTTTATGGCAAAGAACATTTCTTTTTCTTTATGGTTTTGAAACCATTTACAAAAAGTATGGTTATAAAACCATTAATACAAAACTATACGGTTTTTTAAACATTCACTACTAGTATTATTCAAAAACTGAAGAAAAGAAATTTTTTTAACTTGACATAGGAGCTCGGCTTGAACTCCAGTTCTGCCTGTCATGAGATCGACAGAAAAGTCCGCTCGGTTATGATATGTACGCAGTTGCAAAGAACTAAGTAGCTTCATTAGATGGTTCGAGTTGATGCTATAAAATTCTGGTCGTTTAACCGTATTAGGTGAAAGCAGTTTATAAACAGTTTTTTCTCAAACTTAACAGTTTGGTTACCATATTATTTATGGTTATTTGACTGTTTTGATTAAATATGGTAAAATAACCATTCAGTAAATCGTTATTTAACCATTTTTTCCGAGAAATTTCTAACAGTGTAAAGATGAAATGATATTCATTGTTTCTTTTCTGTATTGATACCAGAAATGAATAAAAATATCTCTCATTTCGTCATTTTTCGCATAATATTACTCACATAATCAGTGGAAAAATATATTTTCATCAAAAGAAAATTATCACAATAGCGAGTGACAAATATTTTCAGTTAGCTATAGGCATATAATTTTTGTATCCTTAATCTTAGTATTTTGATGATTACTTAGAAACCTGTCGTAATAGTATACTTTACATCGAACTTTTCTTGTAAACCACATTGCATCAACCCGGATCACCCATTAGTGTCCAGGATACACTGAGCTATAACGGTGGGAACGTATAGTTTATCTACGGTAAGAACTCCCCTCGCTACAAAGTCTGAAGCCGTCTGCTGCTATGGAAACAAGAATAGCGGATCTTAAGGAGGGTAGCTTCTCTTCATTCTAGAGCGAACACAATAGACCTAAGAAAAATATTCCTTTTTTCTCACCGACCGAAGCCAAAACCTGTCCTAAATAATGACCTCACACCTCTACTTGAAATAGAAATACCTCGTTACCATAGTCACCGCCACGGATCCAGACAAATGGTTAGGAGAGTTGTTCCTTTAGACAAATTATAGCTACTAGTAGAGCCTTCCAAACCGGACAGGTAAGTGGGGAGACACCAGACTAAGAGTAACACCCTGGCCCTCCAAGTAGGGGGTTGAGGGATCCATATCTCTGAAGTGGATGAAAGCTTTCTACCAAATGTGTCCCCACCAGTTAATAAGAACCCTGGTTGGAAAAGTCAATTGGAAACAAGTAAAACCAGTGTTTGATTAAAATCCTCTGGGAAATAGAAAAAGAGGAAGACCTAAAATTGCTTGGCACAGGGAGATTATAAGTGAATTGAAAACAATAAGGAAAGACATGTATAGAGGCAAAACATTTGTTCACAAATAGAGTGAAATGGAGAGCTACAATAAAAGCTCTATGCTCCCATTAGGAGTGAAGAGAAATATGCATGTATCAGAATATGTATCAGAAACATAAGCAGTACTAAAAACACGCATATTGTATAGTTAAAGAACAATCGTAACATCATTATTAAAGAATGTAGTATTACACTACATCAATTAATAATTAAAAAATATGAAATATCCGAAACTTATTGCATTATACTTTAGATCATGTCATTAAAGTGAAGCATTTTCCTTTACTGTCATTTTAGGAAAAAAGAAAATTCTTCTATATGACATTCATAGGCAGTATCTGCTGGATTGCTGTATTTTCTTACCTAATGGTGTGGTGGGCTTCCCTTGTTGGGCAAACAGCGGGCATTCCAAATGAGGTAGGTTGCATTTTTTTTTTATCAATTGCGTAGAGTTTAGGTAACTCAGGGGACATAGCGTTCGTCTACCATTGAGGTGATCCTGGTTCAAATCTCAACAAGTGCTGGACGATACGAATTCCATACTCGTTCGCACCGACCACAGTGCTGATGTAAAATATCCGCTAGGGGACGGATCTGGCTTACCATGGAAGGTTCACGTGGTTTTCCTCTCAATGCAACGCAAATGTGAATTAGTTCCATCAAAAATTCCTGCATGAAGTTAAATTTTTCCCGTTACTTGATCCAGGAGATTGCTTGTCTTCTGAATTGGGTTCAAATTTACAAGACTATGAAGTTGAACGTTAGTCATAAACTAAAAAAAAATGGGCAGGGTGTTTAACGCCGGTTATAAAATAAAACTTTAACAGAAGATAAAAATAATGTAGGAAAATTATAAATTAGGTACTCAAATAATTATAAGGCTAAATATCATTAAAATAGTAAAAATAAAGTTGTTTGTACTTATACTTCTATAATGAAATTCGTAATGAATGTCTGACGAAAAATATGTAAAACCCTCAATATATAATGACTCTTTTTGTCAGAAAGAGTGATGATTATAAACTTAAAAGTTATGTCTAAGAAGATTATCGCAGTCACTAGAACACTACCTAAGGTGGTTATCTAAGATAACCACCTTCAATATTGTGGTGGCTCTTACAAACAAAATTCAATGTTTTGGTTACTCTAAATGTAAAAATGACGTATGTTGGTTATCCAGATCAGAGAAGCAATATTGTAATGTTTATAAACGAAAAAAGTCTTTTCAAAGGTGGTTTTCCAGGTTACGGAATCAATACTGTGGATATAACTGCCGGGCCTCTAGTAACTATCCTTGTTGTATCCACCCCTACTATTTCGAATTTTACTGTAAAAATTTCCGGATCAATTTGTGGTAAAAAGTACCTGTATTCAGGGCGCCGGTACTTTTTACCCAAAAACCCATTTTTGCCTTTACATGTTCCGGAACAAAAAATCTTATATATCTTATTACCACAAAAATAATAACTACCATAAAATCATTAAATCACTTCATTTAACTAAATATTACTGTAAAAATTACTATGTATATTTCACGGTAAAATGGGTACTATGAATGACGCACGCAAAGTTCCGGTACTTTATTCGGTAATTAGATCCGGAATTTTTAACAGTGTAATTTCGTCAGGATGGCTATAAACTTAAAAGTTACGATTAAGACGATTATCGCAATGACAGAACACTGTCTATGGTGGTTATTCAAGATAACCACCTACATTATTGTTGTGACTCTTGCTAACAAGAGACAGTGTTTTGGTTGCAGTGAATGTTAAAGTTATATCTATTGATTATCCAGGTTACAGAATCAGTCACGTGGGGACTAAATACTGAAAGTCTTATTTAAGGTGGTTATCGAGGTTGCAAAGTCAATATTATGATAATTGTGAACATAAAAATCAGATTTACAATGGTTATCCTTGTTGTGACCACTCCTTTATAATAAATTAGTTCCTCAAGTACCATGCTGTGTGAAATGATCATACTCTTGTGTATTTTATTTCACATATATCTTGATTGAGAATACGGTACTTGTTCCATTTTCTTATGCCATTTCCTTCTTGCTTTTTTTTCTATGGTAGCCGATATTTTGAAAAAAAATTTCCGTAAACACTACCGTAAACTATTTATTTTTTAAACATCATTATAGTTGGCATTGCCGTTAATGTCGCATCTTTATCAAATTGTTTATAGTCAAGTTTTTCTTAAAATCTAATGAAATCTGGTTACGCTACCAGGTTTAGCATTGTTTATCCAAGTGGACTATTCCGCCCGTTAATTTACTTTTTTTCTACTTAATTTTAATGATTTTATTTGTTACTCTTTTTTAAAACTTTTTAATTTTTTGGTTTTTTTAAATGGTTTATTGTCAATTTTGAAAAAAAAAATTCATTTTTATTTAATATAAAATTAAGTTACAAATGCTTTTTAAAATATTATGAAAAAAGATAATTTAATTATCTTAACTTATGGTATACAATTAGTTTTAGTAAAAAATTAAGCATTAAAACTATTTTAGGAGAATAGAATAATATCAAAAAAATCAATCTTTAACATAGCCTGAAAAATGGACAACCACCTAATATTGTGTTTCTTCTTCTTTTATTTCGAATATTCTAGCATAGAACAATAAAAATCTTTTCGTTACTTTCTTTACTAACATGTCATAGGCGAATACTCGAAAGTTTTTTTTTCTGGCATATCAGACTCAAATATGATTATAATTCTTATCGTTTTACTTCCATCACAAAAGAAAAAGCTCTCAATAATATCTTCGGGGGAACTTTTATTTGCTAAATGATGTAGTATTTCAGGACGGCATTAAATCATCCATATCATCTCTTATTTTTGGTGTCCTATTAACCTAGATTTGTTACAAATCGATTGCATATACGTTACTATTAAAGTGAAGATACCAAGTAGTGGAAGGACGAACGAAGTGGTCACTTTTAAGATTGGTAAATTTCTTGCATTATTTTATGCATCGGCAAAATTATTAAAATATATTTTAAGTATACCTATAGTATATATAATGGACTACAGATCCCAATTTCAAAAGCACACACCCCCCGCAAAGGGATGGGATAAAAAGTGACCACAAAAGTGACGAAATTTACAACCATGCCAAAAAGATGTTTTTACCCTTTTTAAATGGATAGAAGCAGCTTAATTAACGATTACTTGAAGATTACAATGACATCCATGTTTTGCATACTTGGACAGAAAATTGAAAACAAGTGAGTGTTTAAATTGTGTTAATTTAAAAAAAAAATTAAGTGTCCCAAAGTGCGGGAAACCAAATTTGTCTCCCGCTGGTCAGTTTTCTCGTGTAGTTCAGAAAGCCATATAGTAATAGACAGGAATACGAGTGTAGCAAAGATAGCCTGGTTTTCTGTTAAATGAAGAAGCGATACATAAAAGTAGTTAATATTTTATGCATTACTTTATGTATTTATACCTTTGTTAAGTTAAAGAAATATTAAAGAAGTACCAGGATCAACCACTTTATTTCGGAAAATAGAATATTTACCAAATTTTATCACTTATTATAAAACAATATTTTATTGTAAATTTTCCCAAAATCATAACCAAAGCACTTCGGTAAAAATTACCGAGCTTTCTGTTGTTCTTATAAAGGAATGCAGTAAATTTTACCGAATTCTGTAGTTTTGAGAATGTTTTTTTCTCCGAGAAAAAATCTATATTTACTTAATTGTTTTTGAAAAAAATTTCTTTTAAGTTACTTATTTATAGACATTGAATTGTTTTTTTGTCGTAGGTTATGGGACTGACATTTTTAGCTGCCGGAACCAGCATACCTGATTTAATAACGAGTGTTTTGGTGGCCAGAAAAGGCTTTGGAGATATGGCCGTATCGAGTTCTGTCGGCAGTAATATATTCGACGTCTCTGTAGGGTAACTAAAAAAATTTACTATGCATTATTTTTATTTTAAGGGCCGTAACATGGCCTTAGATTATAGCACTGAGAATCGAACCCACCCCAAGTCTTGATTCACCCAAGCCCTCAACTACCATATCTTGAAACGCGCTTCGATTCCCCATGCGGGTGATGTATTCGGTTGAGTGACTGATCAAATCTGGCTAGAAAAATACATGCATCAATAGGTGGTTGGGCTGTGTGGTGCGTAGGCAGGTTGATTAAAATTTTCTACCCTCCGACCTTAAATGTGGTAATGTTATGCACCCATGCACCAGTAATTGCTCCGGATTTTTTTTTTAAGATAAATCACAGATCATCAACAATAACTCATTAGTGAAATGCTTCAGCAGCACTTTTAAATCATCAATTTGTTTTTGCGACCCCTTTGGGGTTCGCAAAAACAAATCAGGGAGGCTGCAGAATTAAAAATAACCAGCTTATAAATAAAAAATCACACTTTTTCGCAGACTCAAACCAGAAACATATATTTGAAAGAAATTGCAGCACATGTAATTGTTACATTACGTGTTATCAATGTAATTAATGGGATGGTTAAGTTTTTTTTTCCCTTAAAAGATTTTCCATACGTGGCTCCACGTTCCTAAGATATAATAACTAATTGCTCTCCACCGTTTCATGACTCAGGGAGAATAGCAGTAAGGGAAAAGGTCGGGCAGTATTCATTTATTTTTTACTTATTTGTGGTTACAGGACTAATAAGTTTTCAAACTATTATGTGACGTCATCAACCAAACCGAAATCTCGAAATTTTTATTTTTTATTTACTATTTTTCACTTTTGTTGTTACATATTTTTGCTGTAATTATGCTTCATTTACTAAAGTAATGAATATTTAAATTAAATACAGTAATTAACCTACAGCTAACTACAATATGATTTAACTGTTTACAACCTAGAAAATTCACGAGTAATTTTCAATTAAAAAATGTTGAATGCTTTAAAATCAAGATTTAATGTTAATCATCCATTTATAGTAAAATTAGTACAAATAGTTAAATTACATCCTTTTTATCCATCAAAAGCACATGACATATTATCCAATATATCCTATTCCATCAACAATAAGTTTAAGTATTCTTTAAAAATTAATAAATTTTATACTACCATTTTTCAAAATGACAAGGACATATTTCACATTTTAAAATTCGCGTTGTAAATGGAAAGGAATATTCAAATAAATCAGTGGACCTTATCAAACTTTGGCAGCCTTTGATAGTTAGCATTTTTTTAATGAAAAATTTGAAGGTATATGTAGGTATTTTACTTTCATAGCTTTAGGCCTTGACCTATGGCAACCAAATACGTCATCCATTATCTAAAATGAGCTATGCGCCGCATGTAATTCAATGTTATCGATTGGCTGCTTTGACATAAAAGGCGGAGTTTCTTTTCCTGTATCTAAAAGTTAGTGATGTAATACATTTTAAAAGAATAATTCATCAATACTGATCCAAATTAGTCAGATTGAAATCTTGAAAAAAATAAAAACAATTGTGAAATCTGAGACATTAAAATCTATTTTTAGTTTTTCAAGATATTATTCCTATTTTTCTTTGGAAATATCCTAGTGGTTGATAAAAGCTAAAATAAGAATTAAAAAAAAACATGATACGAAAAATATATTTTTTATGTATTTAAATTTGTTTTCTTATTCACAATTATACACGGAGAAAAAATTCTGTTAAAGTTAGCGCACTTGTGTAAAATTTCTGGTTTAAAAGAACAAAAACATATTCCTGGAAATAAAACCAAAATATACGATATTTAAACCATTTAATTGGTAATTTTTCTGCTCGTATGGTTACTATTTACCGGAAATTCTGGTTTTCAAAATTAGGTTTCTTGTTACCATATATTTAGTAAAAAATACCAAACGTAAAAGTAAATTTAACCGAATAAATGGTTTTGTAAAATTGATCAATTGTTTGAATTACAAACTTATTATTAAATTTCTAAATAACTACATAATTTTACACAAGAAAAAAATTCTGGTAAAAATATGGTACTGCATAGTAATGACACTTACGATAAAAAAGAAAATAAATAAAATTTTAAAAAAATTTAATTAAAAACAAAGAGAATTCTGTTTTATAAAACCAATATACACGGTTTTTAAACCATTCATTTGGTAATTTTCTCATTCGTATGGTTACCATTTACCTGAAATTCTGATTTTCAAAATTATAGTTCCTATACATTTATTATACATAATTATATATCTTTTAAATAATAATTGTAGTCTTACACATTTAGTGAAAATATAAAACTGAAAAGAAAATTTAAGCAAATAAATATTTTTTGTGCCATGCTCTAAAAAATTACCATGTTAAAATTTCTAAATTTACCACATTTACGACCAATCCATATCTTATTGTTAATTTTACCCTTAGTAGCCTGTTACCTGTTTTACCTGTTAATTTTTACCACCAAATCACTGCAGTAAAAATTACCGTTCTTTTTTGTGTTCCCATACAACCAGGAACATCGTACAATGTACCATATTCTGAAAGTTTTCACATACTTCTTCTCAGTGTAGATAAAAAGGTTTTTGAAAAATCGCGGAAGTGCAAATCAATTTATTCATCAGCATGAAACAGGAATCACTGCAGAACTTTTCAGATTACACTACCACATCTTCGAAACATTTATTTTTTCTATGAAAAGCAAAACTAAAAGAAAATAATTAAAATATTTCACCATCGCTGAATCAAATTATTCCTATTGAAAAGTTAATTTCAATACAATTTTATGTTAAATTAGGAACTACAAGAATTATTTTTTTATTTTTCAAAATAATATTAGAACTTATAATCTGTCTTTGAAAACATCCCGGTGGTTTAAATAAGTAAAAATAATTCTAAAAAATTTTGAAATTAAAAAATATTTTATATTTTTTTATTGAAAAAACTATTTCCTTAATTGGAATTATAGATAAAAAGAATCTTTAAGCATTGCAGTTATATCAATCAATCTACGACTCAACCTGAAAAAGATAATGTAACGTAATGCATGCAACGGTAATAATGTAATGTAACGTAATGTTGATAATGTATATATGAGATAATGTAAATAATTCCTATTATTGTATTTACACATCTTCAATGAGTTTTGCTTTGACATAAAAGTAAAAATTTAACAGAATGATTTACCAACAAGAGTTCAAATAATTCATATAAAAGTTTTGAAATGAATAAATTTTTATTAGAAATTTTAGAATTTAAAAACTGTTCTAGTTTTTCAAAATTTATTTTAAATTAATATTTATTAGTCCAAAAATACCAAATTTACTTAGAAGTTTTTATTTCTAGATATATTCCAGTTTGCGTTTTCTAAGTAAAAACATTTAAAATCATAAAAAATTGACTTTTTAAATTGTAATAAACAATAGCAACTGAAATAATTGAAACATTCAAGTAACATTTAAAATAATTGTGTGATATTAACTTGAATTAAATCAATTGCCGCTTATTTATATTGATCAGTTGTTCTTGTTAAAGTAGGCCATTAAGACAGATGGTACGATTGTTCTTGTTCCCTAGTGGCGCAATCTATGGCCAAGAATTCTACTTCTGCCATACTCATACGTCACACCCGTTTATAGGGTGGGCCCATTCATACATCCACAGATCGTAATTTTGACCTGAACCAGAGAATGAATAATCGAGCCGTGATAGCTCGGGGATAGAGCATTCGCCTTCCAATTAGGCGAACCTGGTTCGAATCCCAGTCGATACGAATTCCGCATCCGGCTTGCACCGACCACAGTGCTGACATGAAATATCCTCAGTGGTGGACAGATCATGGGTCAGAGACCCCTTGCTGTCAGGCTAACCGTGGGAAGTTCACGTGGTCTTCCTCTCCATGTAACGCAAATTCGCCTTCGCTCCACGAAGGCGAATTTCTCCCAATATTCGATCCAGGAGTTCCCTTGTCTTCTGGATTGGGTTCAAAATTACAAGGCTATGGAGTTGAACATTAGTAGTCGTAGACCCATAAAATTGGGTCGGCTGGTCAACGACGGTTATTACAGCAAGGGGTCAGAGGCCCCTTGCTGTCAGGCTAACCGTGGGAAGTTCACGTGGTCTTCCTCTCCATGTAACGCAAATGCGGGTTAGCTCCATGATAAAGTTCTCCATGAAGGCGAATTTCTCCCAATATTCGATCAAGGAGTTCCCTTGTCTTCTGGATTGGGTTCAAAATTACAAGGCTATGGAGTTGAACATTAGTAGTCGTAGACCCATAGAATTGGGTCGGCTGGTCAACGACGGTTATTAAAATCTCCAATTCAGGACTTCCAGAGGTAAAAGTTGTTATGGGAACATGGGGGACTTAGTAACCCGACAGATTTAACGTGCCCCACACCATTAACTACACAGGAAGTCTTTGATCGGCTGGATTCCATCTCTATTGATCAGCAATTGTCTTTGCTCAATCAACAGGCATTCAGTCACGACAGACATGGAATATTATTTTATGTGAATAAGCTCGTGACCATTCATTACTCAGAATTTTATTTCCGTGAATTAATTCATCTCCATTCATTAGTTATAAATTTTTGTGTGTAAATTAACTCCTCGCCGTTTCTTATGTATGACTTTATGTTTGTTAAACTAAATTGACTAATTCACAATTTCAGAATCGTTTTTGTAAATTTGTTTAACACTATCGTATATTTATATGTGTTTTAATCATGTTCACATATTATGTGTTTGAGTATGTTCGGTAAACAACCTACACAGCACAAATGATGTGACGGGCAAAGATAATAACACATAGCATTTGTAACATGTGCAACATATAAATTTTAAAAAAAATTTAAGCAGACCCGGTAGTGTTTTACTTACAATATAAAAAGCTGAAATGTGCGTTTTCTAAATTGATTAATATTTTTATTTACTTTCTTTTATCTTTTAATTTCCTTAAAAACACTGAAAGTATTTCAAATGCTATGATGAAAAATCATGTGCTATGGTGAAGAGAAAAAGCTGCAAAAAATTATGTTTCAAATATCCATTATAAGGATGCTTCAATTTTGTTTTATGCTTTACTAAAAGATGAAAGTTACTTTACTGGAAAATGGAATAACTCAGCATAAAAAAACATCGATTTTTTTTTGCTGAGTATAAAATTGAGTTGACTATACTTAGAAACAAATTTTCTGTTGCATTTCTGCGAATACTTGATCTTGCCTTAATCGGGTGTGGGAATTTCAAATCTGAAGTTAGTTTGGCTTAAAAAGCTACGGAATTTTTTTTGAAAATTACATTTTCAGTCTATTTTTTTGTTGAAATGTTTAGCACTTTACGGTAGCACAGTTTAACGAGGACCGATACCGCGTACCCTTGGTCCCTACACAGACTAAACAAAGTGATCGCCCACACCGACAGCAGCCAGTGATGCTTANTTATTCACTTTACTTTTTTGGGATTTTATGAACTGAAAAATGACAGTTTTCGTGAGAATGACCCATATATATAATTTCAGAAAACTCCTTAATTTCAGAAAAATAAGTATCTGTAAAATTCAAAATATTTTCAACTAAAGAAAAATTAGAACGCTTATCTTAGCTTCGCAGTTTATTTTCAACGTGGTGTTACATTTCTATACTGTTAAATTTGTTAGATAACTTCTCAACTTCTTTTCTCAGGTTGCCTTTACCCTGGTTTCTTTCTTGCCTCATTTTTGGCCCAGTAGAAGTCAGCAGTTCCGGCATGGCATGTTCTCTCCTGTTGCTCTTCCTCATGTTGCTGTTCGTCATAATATCTATTGCAGCTTTCAAGTGGAGAATGAACGTCGGTTTAGCAATGGTGATGTTCGGTTTATACTTCGTCTTCATCGCCTGCAGTCTCCTACTCGAGTACGGCGTGGTCAACTGCGATACCCTTCTTGGACGGTGAAAGACACTGGCAAATAAGTTGATCATCTTCCTCCAAGTGGATATACTCTAAAAAGTGTGCTGTACACTAATGATGGTTAATAGAGCAGGGTGGTTCAAGTCAACAGACAACTTGACTGCGTGACTCGAAATGCTGTGCCAATTTCTAAATTACGTGCTCTTCTTGAAACCTTATTTATATATGAAATAGTTAGTTCCAATTTGGGATGGTACATTGTTAGTTAACAGAAGAATCTCGAACTTTCAAATATGAAGAAGTAAAGAAGCTACTACCCCCGTTGAGGAGTTAGCAACTTTGTTGCTTTTAGTTTTACTTTTTTTTGTTTTTTTTGTTTATTTTTAACCAATGCTGTGCTTACAGATACAATGTAGTCAATAACAGATAATGTGCCTTCCAAGTATTCCGTGCATTGACTTACTCGCTATAATATATTTATTTGAATATTAGAAGAAATATATATAGTGTATGTTAAGCTAAATAATTCATATATTAACTACATTACACACCATGTTAGTTATATATATTACAGCTTATTCAGTGATTTATCAAACATATGTTAAGTTTCAATTTATCTATACACTCTCAAAACTGGTTCATCATAGGCACTCTGAACCATAATGCCGTGTAAATTTGCTGCAACCTCAGTAACATGTTAAGCAGAACCGTCTTTAATTTCAAGTTGAACCATATTATCGTATAAATTATTTCACGTGCTCTGATCTGTACGATAATATGGTTTTACTTGACACTGTATTAAGGTTGTAACAAATTTGAGCGATAATACGGCTCAACGCATTTTAAAATTTCTAACAGTGTATATATAAATTTACGGTGTTGATAAATTTGTTTTATAGCAAAAATATAATTAAATTATCATTGCTATTCGTTTGTTTATTGAATGAAACTTTCGAATTTTATAGAAAATAATCACTTTTTTAAACGATAACTTTCTCAATCTTTCAACTTGAATAGCATTATATGGTTCCAATTTTAAAGCATTACAGTGGTAGTAAATTTAAACAAACCACTAGAATATACATCTAAGTCTAAAATTAAATCTTCCATAAATGTTAAATAATTGTAAATAAGTCAGAATATATCTAAAAATTCATTATTTAAAAATATGTATAATATTGTGAAATTGGAAAGAATACATATATATGAGAAAAATTGTATTTACAATTAATATAAATTTTGCAATCCATTTAATGGTTATTAGCAAAATTGATTCTACCTAAATATGTGAAAATTACTTCTATTTTATGAAATTTGATCTTTTCCGATAATAACTATTGTAAATTTGGTTAAAACAGTAGTTTAAATTATTTAAAATTTCAAATATTAATTACTAAATTCAATTACTAAATTCAATTATTAATCTTTAATTTTTTATTAAATTCTTTATTACTTAAATATTAATAAACATAGTTTATTTAAAATATCATATTTTATACTTCTTAAACACTAAGTTGATTCGAATAAAAAATTTATTTAGATTTATTTGATTTGTCGATTGATTTGTTTTAATGTATTTATTTGGTAATATTATTTTATGCATTGTAATAGTAGAAATTTTCTATGTTGCAGTTTTTTTACGAACCACAAACGAAATAAGCCAATTAAAATATTAATTGTTTAAACAAAAGAATATTGCCTTAATAAAACAACGCATGAAACAGCTCGTTTTTAAAGTAGTTTTGCTATTAAATAGTTTCATCTCTCTAGTTTAACGATAATTTTTGCGTATAAAAACTCAGTACTATGATAAGTTAAAGCAGGATTTTTCATAGCCTTTGCATTTCACATAAAGTTTACGTATATTTTTACATCTTAGATTATATGAATTCATTATGTTAATTAATTTGAAAAATAGCAACGTTTATGTAAAAAAACTGAAAAATCGAGATAAATGTTCTTTTTTAATTAAAATTATAAACAAAAGGTTAACATTTTAGAATATTAATACTGAATAAGTCTTTACTGAAAAACAGCTTTGATTTGTAAGTTAACTTGATTAGGGGAATTTAATCAAACATAAATTATTAAAAATATTTGAAGTAAAAATTCTAAAACTGATTATCCAAACAAATTAATAATTATTAGTCTAAAAATATCAAATTTACTTTGAAGGTTTTATTTTAATGCTGCATTTTCTCTACGTTAAAACATTTAAAATCAATAAAAAATAACTTTTTCAATTGTAGTAAACAGTAATATCTAAAATGATTGCACCATTCAAGTAACATTTTAAATAGTTGTTACATTTAAGTAAGCTTAAAATAATTGCATGATATTAACTTGAATGAAATCAATTGTAATCAATTTATACTGACCAGTAATTGTCTTTATTTAATCAACAAGCATTTAATTACAACAAATTTGTAATATTACTTTCTGTAAATAAGTTCGTGCCCGTTCCTTACTCATAATTTTATTTCTGTAAATTAATTCATCTCCATTCATTAGTTATCAATTTTTGTCTGTAAATTAATTCATCTTTGTTTCTTAGGTATGACTTTTCATACGTTAAACTAAATTGATTCATTCGCAATTTTAAATTTATTTTTGTAAATTTGTTTAACACTATTATATATTTATATATGTGTTAATCATGTTTACATATTATGCGTTTACGTATCTTCTGTTAACTACCAACACAGCACAAATGAAGTGACACGGAAATACAATAACATATAACATTTGTAACATGTGCAACATATATATTAAAAAAATGCAAGCAGATCCAGCAGTGTTTTACTTACAATACAAAAAGCAGAAATGTACTATTTTCGAAATTGATTAATATTATTATTGTTACTTATATTCTTTTATCTTCAAATTTTCGAAAAAAACACTTTAAGTGATTTCAAATGCTATGGTGAGAAATATTTTATATTGTATTATCATCAATTTAGAGATTAACTTAATCTGTTGAAGATAAAATGCTGCACAAAATTATGTTTCAAAAATTCATTATAATAAGTTTCAATTTTATTTTATACTTTACTAGAAGTTGAATGATATTTCATAATGTCTTTCAAATTTGCTGGAACTTTAAAACTTGACAAATTTGGATATATTATCTTACTTCTTAAACTTTATTGTATGATACTCAGTTCAAATTATACATAAACAGCCAAGTTGAACCATATCATCTTACATCTTAAATTTGATTACATGATACTTTAATTCAACTTGAACAGATACGTTGAAAATTTAACCATATTATATTACATCTTAAACTTGATAACATGATACTTTAGTTCAACTTGAAAATATACCTTACGAATTTAAGCATATTATACTGCATCTTAAACTTGATTATATGATACTCTAGTTCGACTTGATCAGAAACATTTCCAAGTTGAACCATATTATCTTAGATGTTAAACTTGAGTACATGATGCTTTAATTCATCTTAAACAGATAGATTGCCAAGTTGAACTATATTATCCTACATCTTAAACTTGATTATGTTATAAAGTTCAACTTGAACAGAAACGATGTTCAATTTATTACCTTATTTAGGTTGCAGCAAATTTGAATGGTATTATGGCTCAAATTTGAATCGATTTACTGATTGTTTATTTCTTGAAACACAAAAATAACTTTTGTGCTGTGTGGGGTTTTGGTTAATTATTCTAATTTCAAACAGATTAATTTGTACAATGATAAAAGTAGCGTAATTTAGTAACCGAAGAATGTCGTATAAGATATTACTGAGTACAAATATTGGGTCTTCCAGAAAAGTATAGTCATTTATGAAATGAAAAATGTTCCAATAATGAAACCAATAACAATACTTTTTACATAGTATTTGTGTTGTCAAAAAAATTATATATTGATATAAAAATATCGCGCTGTGGAAAACATATTATTAATAAAGAACACGAAATTATTTATTTAGATTATTGATATTATCACTATTAAAATTTATTGAAACTGTGGACTTTAAAATGGAAACTTAGCAATTAATGAAAAATAAGTTATATCTACTTATGTATATCAGTAGTTATAAAACTTGAAAATTATAAAATTTAAAAATAAAGTGCAGTCATTCATGAAATGAAAAAACATTCCATTAATGAAACAGATAACGATACTTTCTTCGCATTACTTATGCTATCAAAGAAATTTTGCATTGATATAAAAAATATCACGATACGTAAAACATGATAAATGTATTTAGAACAGGTGATTATTTTTTATATTTAAATAATTAAAATGTATTGAACTTGTGGATTTCAAAATGCAAACTTAGCAACTAATTAAGAATAAGTTATATCTATTTATATATATCAGTATTTATAAAAACTGAAAATTATAAAAGTCTAGTCATTTATAAAATGAAAAATATTCTATTAATGAAAACGATAACGATACTTTCTATGTGTTCTTTGTTTTGTCAAAGAAATTTTGCGTTGATATAAAAAATATCTCACTATGTCAAAGATTATAAATGTATTTAGAGCATGGGATTATTTTCTTATATTTACAAAATTAAAATTTATTGGAAATGAGGATTTCAAAACGCAAGATTAGCAATTTATTAAAAATAAGTTATATTTATTTATGTATATCGGTATTTATAGAAACTGAAAATTATAAAGTTATAAAATAAAAGTCTAGTCATCCATAAAATGAAAAAAATTACAATAATAAAAACGATAACGATCGTTTTTATTATTACAAAATTAAAATTAATTTAAATAAAAAATTTTATGAAATTAAAATTTATTTACAAAATTAAAATTTATAGAAAATGAGGATTTAAAAAAAATTAGCAATTAATTAAAAATAAGTTATATTTATTTATGTATATAACAAAAACTTAAAATTATAAAGTTTAAAAATAAAAGTCTAGTCATTGACAAAATAGCAAACAGTCCTAGAATGAAAACGATGCTTTTCATATGGTATTTGCATTGTCAAAAAAACTATGCATTAAAATTAATTTATTATGCTATTAAAAGCATAATTAATGTATCCAGATTTTTTAGTTATTTTATTTAGCTCTACTGGATAAAAATTTATTGAAACTATGGATTCCAAAATGGAAACTTAGCAACTATTTAAAATAAACTATTTTATTTTTTTATTAAAACTTTTAGCATATTATTAAAATTTTCAATGCAATGCAAAGCCTCGAAATTTGTTTATAAATAATAATTATGTGTGTATCTAAGTGTAATTATAACGGTTGAACTATATAGAGTTTAATGGCAATGCAAAAAAGATAAATATTTGTAAATACTTATAAATTTTATAGATAAAGTGATCTAAATATGTGAAATAAACATCTATGATTACCATAAGTATATATATATAAATATTTCAAAAATAATTACACCTCATTCAAATGAAATAAACAGATTTAAGCATTACAGAATTCTCATAATTCATACCAATCTCATAATTTGGCAAAAATAGAAAAAAAGTATAATTTAGTCATCATTAAATTTTAGGAGAAAAAAAACAACAAAAAAACTAGTTAATTTTCTTAACAAAATTTAGCTGTGCTACTTTTACTAACTATACGAATTTATCTGTATAGATCAAGCTAAATTTATATAGTTTTGAACTAATTTTGATCTAGTTTTGAGCAAAAGTAAATATATTTAGCCAAACTTTAACAAAAATAATATCATAAAATTAGCAAAATCCATCAGAAATCAAAAATTAAATTTCGAAATTTGTGTCTGGCATTAATATTCTATAATTAGGAAAGAGGAATTTAGATATATTTACGACACTAGGGAAAAAAAGTTTACAGTTTATTTTCGAGAGTACAGAATTCTAACATTTATGACGATTATTGATTAACCGGCTAGGATCTTTTTTGATTAAGCTTTAAAATACAGAAATCCAACACTTATGATTATCGTTTTAATGTCTATGACCTTTTATATCTAAGCTCTAAAATAGGGAATTCCAATAACTATGACGATTATCGCTTTAATATATCAATGTTTTTTAATCTAAGCTCTAAAATATGGAATTCTAAAATTGATGATGATTATCGTTTTGATGTCTATGATCTTTTATATCTAGGCTCTAAAAAGTGGAAT